ACTCTCATCAGTCATTAGTCATTAGTCATTAGTCAGAAGAATTTTTTCTGGCAAAATCCTGAAAAGTGTCAAACTCGACTGAATTTAAATTAACGGAAATTAAAGAATACGCAAAAAGTGAGAACAATCTAAAAAGTAAAAAAAGTGAATTGAAATTGGAAGGAGGCAAAAAATAATTGACATAGAAAGTGTTTATTGTGCTTGTGCTTGTGTGAAGGTGTTTTGTACATACATTTACATTCTTATTTGACGTTAGCTTTGTTGTTGCCATTCTTTGGACTAAAAAATTGGTTTTTTGCGTTCCTTTACTTTTCCTGTTATTCTCTTTTAGTGAGCGCATTTTGCTTACGCTCTGACATTTTGACACTTTTCAGATTTTAGTCCAAAAAGATAAGGAATGAACCTTATATGTTTATTCCTGCACAAGTCTTCTTTCCAGTTAGCAATAACCAAGTTCAGAGCACTTTCGCAGGAATGCCTTTTACGAAAACCAGATTGCTGTGGAATAATAATTTTATTATCTTCTAAGGGCCGTTTGCACCATGTCTAGTTAATTCTAACTCCCAGTTAAACATCTTTATCGACGTTATCGACACCCATCCTATAACATGTGATCGATAAAGCAGTTAACGTGCTTAACTGAAGGATGTACCTCCAGTTAGCGTTAACTAGACATGGTGCAAACGGCCCTAAGTACTGTACAAGTTGGTTTTTCACCACTGTTTCTTTTTTTTTTTTTCGTCACATGGTAATGTATTTATGGGTCTAATCTCATCAGGTCTGATAGTATTTTTTATTTTCTCTATTGGTACAACAATCGACGTTTTCCAGAAGTTTGGAAAATCACCTTTCTCTAAGCTTTCATTCACAATTTGAGCATAAAATTATCCAGTATCAGTTATTGAGTCTTTAATGACTCCTTCAGATATGAACTTTTTTCCACCAAATTTGTTTTTGAATTTGCTTACTATATTCGGAATGTCGATTGTATATATTTTTTGGAATTTAAAAGTAGATGCGTTAATTCCCGTGATTACGAAGTCCCCAATTCCAGCACTATTATTTCTGCTGATTTCCATGACACTATCTATAAAATAGTTGTTTAGTGAGGGCGCTATTTCACCCTCATGTGTGAGAAGTTGGTCGTTTATTAATATTCTTTTAAAGGCATTGGTTTCCTTAGACATAGATATGCACTTTTTTAGGTGTTTCCACATAGCTTTGCTGACCCCGATATTACAGGTAATTTTGTGTTCATGTATTTGGTCTTCTTAACCTTTATTAACCTTTTGTATCTACGCCGGGTAATATTGTATTCATTCCAGTCGCCTGTTTGTAAAGCAATGTTGTAAAGATTCAGTTTATGTTTGTTGAGGTTTGCTAATTCAGAATCGTACCACTTATTTATCAATTTAACGCTGATTTCTTTAGAGTATATCATAGTACTCATTACACTTAATATATTATTATATAGAAAATTTACCTTATTCGATACTCATATTCTTGAAATCACAATAGTTGAATTGTCGTAATAGGTTAACAAGACTATCGCTTGAGTAATATTCCCAAAAAGTTATAAGTTTTCTAACTCTCATTTTAAATATTTTTTCCAATTTTATGTTAAATTAATGGTTTCGTGATCCGTAATCCTATCTTCTTCCAATCTTTTACAGGAAATAAATTCACTATTCGTAAATAACAAATCAATCAATGTTTCAGTGTTATCCCCTTTTCGAGTATAAAAATCTATTTTTTGATCCATAGCAAAAGACCGAAATAGGTCTGTAACTGTTTGCTATAAGTGGTGCTTTTGTACAAGTTTATATTGAAATCCCCGATGAAGACTATATTATCATGCGTTAAAAAGCTATTATTTAAAATTTCGTGTAAGTATGTAATAAAGTCTGCATCGCTCGAACTAGGCGAATGGTATATAAGACCTATTTGATATTTAGGAAATATATTTTTAATTTTTAATGTTATACACCACAGATTTTTATTAAACGAATGGTTATAACTTGTTGCATATTCAATTGAATCCTGTACATATACTGAAACACTACCCGTGTGCCTGTTGTGTGAATTACACCGCAGTAATTTGTAGTACTCAATCTATTACTACGATTATACGCACAGAATAATCGACTTAATTGAAAGCGCATTGACACCGTACACATTTCGCTCTAGTGTTTATTCTTACGGCTTTATATCGGCATCAAAGTAACCGTCTTCAAAAGCAAACAAAATCAGCTGTTTTCATTTGACATTTTATAAGTTAACATAATGGAAAGTGATAAAAATCTAGTTTTATTCGGCATTATAAACTCGTGGCAAAGAAAACGAACGATTATTATTACTCAGCTTTTAAATACTGATGCGATTATCTGGAATTTGAGCGGAACAGCTGATCTCCAATTCGCTTTGAGTGAGAGCGGTGTTTATCAAGAATGATAGAATACAAGATTGCGCCGTCCTGGGCGTTGACATTTGTGTACCACAAGTAAACAAATAATCTCTGCGGGATTGATTAGTTAACTTGCTAATGGAGGCTGCGTGGAGCAGAAACAAAATCATTGTGAGGAAATGCTGTTAATATAATAATAGAGAAACATTTCGGGAACGGCTTTGCCGTGCCCTATGTACACAAAATGCAGCGATTCGTCCCAGCGCTACACTTGCATCTACGCTTCTTGCATCTTGACGGCTGTCGGAATTTAACACACAGCATTTTATTGTATTAGTTTTTCGGCAGGCCTCAACTCAAAAATCACTCACAAATTGCAAATTAACACAATTTTAACTGATTTTTCACTTATAATTAAAATTTCTCTTTCGCTGATTTGTAAACAAAGGTTTATTTACAAGTTACCACAACTGTCAAAATCGGCAAAACCAAAGTAGCGGTACCACTGACGGCGCCACCTTTGTTCGCTGCATCGTGGGTGTTTATACACTCTTTCTAACTCTCTGGAGAAATAAACTACTGATTTCAAATGGAGTGTGAGCCAAAACCCTTCGCTCTTTCAGAGCGAATTGAAATTCAGTTTATACATATGTTTTGAATCGCGGCGAAATGAACTAAAGCGACTTATGCATGCGTATAAACGTATATGTAATTCTTGATTTGTTATGTCTGCTGTCGAACAACTTTCTGAACAAAGAACCAAATGGGGTTTCTGTACTTCTATTAGACGCTCTAGTTCATAATTGTTAGCAACGATACTACTGATATTTAAATAAATGGAATTTCATTCATTTAGTATTCGTTGCTAGATTCGCGATTTGTTTTTTGGTTGAGTATGATTTTTATACGCCGGACAATCTATACTGAAAGCGTACTGGTTTACATCAACATCAGTAACTTTTTTCTTAACCAACTCGCTACAGTTTACACATTTAACTATATTTGAGGTACATTCTTTACTGTCATGATTTCCAGCATATTTGCTACATGCTATCTTATTAGTGCATTCGCTAGCTTTGTGTTTATACCCCAAGCACTTAAAGAACGCAAAACATTTAAATGCTCATAAACGACACAAGTGTTCCATTCCATAAACACCTTCTTTTGTAGCAACACATTTTCAAAAGTAACAGCTTCAGATTCTACCAATGCAATATAGCTTTCCTCTCTACTATAAGCATTATCATAAACTTTTAGTACTTTAAATCTTTTCTTGTACATACGTCGTTTTGCTTTGTTAAAGCATTCCACTAGGCGAACTTTACTTATTTTCTCAGTTATGCCAACAATCTTAAATATCCTCTTTATTTCACTTCTATCTTTAGTTTTATTTGCTTCAAATTCGTTTCCAATAACCTCTCTTACTTTCTGTTGCACCTTTTCACACGCGTCTTTATTTCTGCATTCTACAATTATTCCCCCGCTATTTATTTCTTTCACGTTTTTAACAAGACCTTCCGTAGGCTCAACTACTTTTTTTAGTGCTTCTTTTGCCTCCTTTGCTTTTTTGTTTTTGTTTTACGGTTTAATAACAATTTTGTATTCATTCAACTTGGCGACTTGAGCATATGACGTTTTGGGGTTAACATTCTCATTAGCTACGCGTAATCTATATTCATTACTTTTTTGGAACTCATTCGATATATCTGTTAGGATCTCGTTTTTCATTGCATTTATTTTTACTTCAATGTTGTGCTCCAGAAAGGAGTTGAAGTCAGTGGAGGAGCTTCGACAAAGTACCGAAGATACCCAAAAGGACATTGTACGGATACGCGAGGGTATGCAGCCACAAAGTGCAAGTCAGAGTAATGTGCAGCCAGCACAAGATGAACAACGCCAGGCCGTCATGACTGATACCGATTCGCACATAAAGTTGTACGGCTTGCCTACGTTTGGCGGTAATATTGAAGAATGGCCATTAATAATAATAATAATAATAGATTGGCGATTACACATATGTTAGTGTTTGGCCGAGCTTCTCCTCCGATTTGTGGCGTGCGCCTTGATGTTGTCACACAAAGCGGAGGGACGTACAGTTTTACGCCGACTCCGAACGCCGATTGTATTTTTATGAGAAGCTGTTTTTCATGGCAGAAATGCACTCGGAGGTTTACCATTGCTTCCCGAGGGACGACCGCTGTTAAGAAAAAACCTTTTTTCTATATATTTTTTGCGATGTTGCTTTGACCAGGGCTTGGACCCAGGTGCTGCGGTGTGGAAGTGCGCACTGCTTACCACTACACCACAGCGGCCATTGTTCTACGCAAATTTCAACGACACGACACAGGCGTTTCGTTACAGTCACCGGCAAAATTTAATGCGGTTGCAAAAATGTCTGGTTGGCCCGGCAAAAGAGGCAGTGGCGGCCATGTTAATTTTTCCGAATGATGTGCCCAACGTGATGTGTGAGCTTGAGTTTCGGTTTGGTCGGCCCGACATTTTGGTTAAAGGGTAAATAAGCCAATTGCAGCAGTTGCCGCCAATACCTGAAAGCAAAGTTGAAAGAATTATACAGTTTTCGTCCAAAGTCCGTAATATGGTGGCGTTTTTGAAGTCCGCGAATTTTAAACAACATTTGTCAAACGTGACGTTGCTTGAGGAAATGATTATCAAGCTGACGCAAACCAGACCATTCGATGGGGCGAAGAACGCTGCGACCATGACGCGTTACCCAACAGTCGAACATTTTTCGGAGTGGCTCAGCGACTTGGCAAGGATAATCAGTCTAATGCCGACAAAAAGCACACAAAGCTGCAAACAAAATGCTGCGCCGAACAGTCCGCGTCGCCTCATGCATATCAACCGAGCGAAAGAGACTTTAAAATGTTACCACTGCAGCGGAAGCCATATGATAGCACAGTGCGTGTCGTTCAAGTCGATAGGCGTTCAGGACCGGTGGGAATTGGTCAAAACAAAACAATTATGCTTTTCATGTTTGCGCAAGGGCCACTGCACGCAGAAATGTCGGTCAAGGCGAAAGTGTGAAGTGAATGGATGCCAACGATACCACAACCAGCTACTTCACAATGAGGAAGCAGCGGATCAAGCGCCACGTCGAGTCACGCAATTGGATGCCGCTGTGCAGCCACTGCTAAATTGTCGGGTAACACAAAGTTCGCAAGGTTTATTATTTAAAATGTTACCGGTTAATATTTACGGCCCGGACGGCAAGCGGGAGGTCCTTGCCATATTTGGCGAAGGTTCGTCAGTGTCCATAATGGAGACCGGCGTAGCAAATTTGATCGCTGCTAAAGGCGATGTACATCCACTCATGCTGCAGTGGTACGCCGATAAAATGGTAACCGAGCAAGCCAGTTAAATTGTCGTTGAAATCGAGAACTGTACTAACAAGAATAGATTTGCGCTTAAAGATGTGTGCACGGTAAAAAATTGAATTTACCCGAACAATCACTAAGAAAAGAAAATTTCGATAATCTTAAAGATATGCCAATTTTGAACTATTATCGTGCAAAACCAGATAGTTTTGGTGTCAATCCGTTGCCGCAGAAGATAGAGTCAGATGAAGAGAATCGCGCACGGTCAAATTTACAACAAACGACAAGAAAAATGGGGCACCAGTACGAAGTCGGGTTGCTGTGGAAAGAGTATCCGCCGAAATTGCCCAGAGTCGAGCCATGGCGGAAAAGCGTTTGTGGACAGTGAAAAAAATAATGGGAGGCGACGTCGAGTTTCGTGTGCGGTACAGAGAGGAAATGTCCAAGTATTTTGAAAGAGGGTAAGCAAGAAATCTGAGCGAAGTCGAAGTCTGCGCGTCGGACTTAAACGTGTGGTACTTGCCTCACTTCGCCGTCTTCAACTCCCATAAGCTTGAAAAAATACGCGTTTTTGATGCGTCAGCCAGTGTAGCAAATGTGTCCCTCAACTCGGCTCTTCTGAAAGGTCCAGAACAAGCACAATTGCCGATAAGAATTTTGTTGCAATTTCGGCAGGGGTGCATCGGAGTATCAGCCGACATGCGTGAAATGTTTTCACAAATAAAGATACGCCAAGATGATCAATACGTCCAACTCTTTTTATGGCGTGACGGAGACCAAAGTCGAGCAATCGAAGAGTACGCTATGACATCACTAATATTCGGTGCTGTATGCTCGCCATGCATAGCCGAGTATAGAATAAAAACGCCAACGAATTTTGAGCACAGTTTCCGGACGCCGTATCCACGATTATCAACAAACACTATGTTGACGATTTAGTTGCCAGCTTTAACGAGGCCGAAGAAGCCGTAAGAATCTGCCAAGAGATATTTAGAATCAATCGGCATGCGGGATTCGAGCTGCGAAATTTTATCTCCAACTATCGTGAGGTTGAAGAAATAATGAACCAACAACCAACGTCGCCAGAAAGAGAAGCAGACAGCATGGTGCGAAACGGAAAAGCAGACAAGGTGCTCGGCCTGTACTGGAACACGAAAGAAAATACTTTCCACACATAGTTTCATCGCGTGCCCCAAGGTGTCCTAAACAGAACGCGTGCACCAACTAAACGGAAATTACTGCGCATCGTAATGGCGGAGTTTGATCCGTTTGGTATGTTGTCTAACTTCTTAATTAATACTAAACTTTTAATTCAAGAGACCTCGGAGAGCGAAATAGAATGGGACAACATTCTCCCGATGGAGCTAGGCAGGAAGTGGTTACAATGGTGGCAAGAAATCAACAGCATGAAGCAATTCACGATTCCACGGTGCTCCTCACAACACGTCGCAAACATGGGTAAAGTCGAGGTGCATATGTTTGTGGATGCAAGTCAAGTTGCGTTTGCTGCGGTGGGGTACTTGCGAGCTCTCCACGAAGGAAATGTTGATGTCAGCTTCGTAATGGGAGAACCTCGTACCGCTCCGACGAAGCTCATGTCGATCCCGCGCCTAGAACTGCAGTCAGCTGTCCTGGGCACCCGTCTATTCAAATTATTCCAAGAATCCCACGAGCTCACGATCGAGCGGGCGGTATTCTGGAGCGACTCGCCAACCGTTCTGCAGTGGATACATTCATCGCAGAGAAAATACAAGGCGTTTGTTAGTCACAGTATATCCGAAATACTCACCTCCACTGCCCCAAAACAATGGCGATGGGTGCCAACTGCACAAAATACTGCAGACGCTGCCACGCGCCCATCATGTCCACCGATATTCGACATCAATAACCGTTGGGTAAAGGGTCCAGACTTCTTAATGTACCACGAGCAGTATTGGCCTACCCTAACACTACAACCGGAAAGCGTCGTACCAGAAGAAATTACGACCGAAGCGATACTACTGGTGCAGCCATGTAACTCAGTCATACATTTTTCAATATTTGGTTCATTTTCGAAGCTGCGACGTACCGCAGCTTGGGTGCTGCGTACAGCGAGCTTATTTCGAAAGCAGCCAAATAGCGAAGTCAATCCATCAACGAGCCTGAGCGTGACAGAAATCGATGCTGCCGAAAACATGATTTGCAAATTAGTCCAGCGTGAGTGTTGCGCGAGTGAAATCTCCAACTTGGCAGCGGAGCGCAAACTTAGCAAACGAAGCTCTTTATACAAACTGTCACCGTATGTTGATGAAAGTGGTGTACTACGACAGAGCGGCCGCATCGATGAGGCGGCATACCTACCATACCAAGCGCGACGACCGATTTTGCTACCACCAGAACACGCAGTGTCGGCCTTAGTTGTCAAAGATGTCCATGAGAGGAACCACCATCAGAATATCGCAGTAACCATCAACGCCATTAGACAAAGGCACTGGATTCCACATTTTATGGCGCTTCTTAAGCGAGGGCGACAAAGGTGTAAAAAAAATAAAAATAAATAAATAAAAATATGTACGGTTGACAGAGCAAACCCACAGCCACCGATGATGGGTCAACTACCGGTTGACCGTGTAACCCCGTTCGTGCGCCCTTTCACGTACACTGGCGTCGATTTGTTTGGTCCGTTTCACGTAGCGATTGGCAGGCGTCGAGAAAAGAGGTGGGGCGTCATATTTACATGTTTGACTGTCTGAGCGGCGCACCTCGAGCTAGCAGAGAATTCGTCAAGCGACGCGTTCATCCTGTGCCTTCGCAATTTTATAAATCGCTGCGGCACACCTGTGAAGATAAGGAGCGATAACGGGACCAACTTCATCGGCGCACAGAAAGCACTGAAAGCATCGGAGCAACTGTTTGACACAGATCGCATACAGTCAGAAGCAGCAAAATACAATATCGGGTGGATATTCAATTGCCTTCTAAACCCTGGCTCGGGCGGCTGTTGGTAGCGCCTTATAAGGGTCGTCAAAGCACTCTTAAACAAGACATTGAAAGAGGTAGCGCCAAGGATAAGCACATTGCAAAGCGTTCTAATAGAAGCGGAGAACATTATTAATTCACGCCCTTTAACCGATTTGCACGCGTCACATAAAGAGGACGAGCCGATTACGCCGAACCACTTCCTGCTCGGCGGCGAAAATTCCACGCAGATACCACACCCCATTGATGAGCAAATTTGCCTGCGCAAACAATGGAGAATAGCACAAAATCTAAATGACCGTATATGGAAGCGCTGGGCTACGGAGTACCTGCCACAACTTTTGCGTCGTACAAAGTGGCAAGAGAAAGTTACACCACTGAAAGTGAATGATCTGGTGATAGTATGTGATGCAACGCTACCCCGCAGGCAATGGCAACGAGACCGTATCACTCAGGTTTTCCCAGCTAAAGATTGGCAAGTGCGAGTCGTAGAGGTGAAAACGGCCGGTGGACTCCTACGCCCGCATCCCGGCTAGCCAGACTAGAGGTTAATGGCGAATGCCAGGAGGATTCACGGGGGGTGGGGTGTTATGCACCCTGTAATATATTTTTGTAGGTGGCAACGCTACCACCAGCCAACTGATGGACAGGAGCTAAGTTGACAAATGAAAATTCTCGATATACCTCGATGGAAGCGTAAGCGAAGCGCACGAAACACACAGGTGTAAAACGAGCCATACAACGTATAATTTTATATTCAAACGATGGAATTAAATTACATGTTTTTAAGCTTCAATAAATAAGCACATATAAGCGTTAGCATACTTTTTATTTAATTTCCGTGGAGCGTATGCGGTAAGGCATTTCTTTACAATGGGTTTGGATTCAACAACCGAAAATCATTGTACAATCAAAATCTCTGATAATTAGTGTAAGCTTCCCGCTGTGTATTTCGACGCTCAATATGGATGGCCTCTGTGGCAAGTGCGACAAGGTTTTTGCGCGAGGAGATCCTTGTATCGTGCCCTGCAGTGGTTTTTTTAAAGAAGCGCTTTCATCGTGCGTGTTGTGAAGGCCAAATTTCGGAATACGATATTGGTCTGCTCATCTAGAACCGCCACATTCGCTATTTCTGTCCGGAATGCATACTCATGCCAGCTACATTAAGCAAGACTCTTGACGTAATATCGTTGACACACCAAAATGGGTTGGAGTCCATTAAAAGAGACTTTGATGCAAAATTCAAATCTTTACACGAGAAACTCAACGCAGTCTAAAATCAGTTAGAATGCATAAGCAAAAAAAAAATTCCAATGACAACAACAACAACATTGCGAAAGTGCTAAGTGAAATTAATATCCTAAAATTGGCTGTTTCTAAAACAACAAACTACAATGTAAATGCTTCTAAGAAGAATTCGGAAAGCTGCCCGCCTGCTGTTCAAAATACTTTTGCTGCGCCTGATGATGGCAATTATACCGCTATTACTGAAATGACTCGTCGCCTCTCCATCCTCTTTAACATCATCTTCGCATTCGGTTAGTGGTGCTCAGCATATTAACAATAACAATAGCGCATCAGTGAATGCTTTGCCTATTCCGCCTTTGCCTACTGCTGGTGATGCTGCTAATGGTGCCAAGCACAATAACAATAAATGAGCTTGCCTGTGGCCCGTAATGTGTCAGTGAATGCTTCTTTGCCTATTGCTGCTGATGTGTTTGTAAATTCATGCGATCCTGTTCCTACGTCTGGTTTGCTCACATCGCCGCTGCCTTCAAACGCTGTTACACAGCATTCTACGGATGTTGCTGAAAAGTACGAGTGGAAAACGGTACGCAACAAGAAATCAAATAGATATAAAAATATTGTTGTGGGCATTAATACTAACTGCGACCTCGACGTTGTAATTAAAAAGAAGTGGTTATACATCTCTTCGTTCAAACCATCTGTGACTGAAGATAAAATAATTTCTGTAGTGTATTAACACGTCTTTTCTATATTAAGCATAGCAACGGAATGAACATTCTCTTTATTTAATAATTCATATGAGCAGAATGTTACATGTGTGTATGTGCGCTTATTGCTGAATAAGTATGAGGTAATAAGTAATAAGTAATGAGGAATAAGTAATAAAGAATGATTGGCAAGGATGCCAGATGAACGTATATAACAATTTCATATGTTGCTAATCAGTCAGGCGTTGACAGTCAACACCTGGCTTGCTACAAGCTGGTAAAAAGGGTGCTTCTGTCGATAGTTTGCGTAGCCTTAACTTAAAATTTGAAGTTTCACCAGCATTCTATAACAAAATTCCGAATCCAGATGTCTGGCCGACTAATATAAACGTCAGACCGTCCCGCTTTTTTCAAAAACTGGACAACTCGGAAGCGAACCACTAGCCGAAATCGCAGTTGCAATGATAATAATCTGAAAATCGACTACCAAAATATATCTGGCATTCGAAGTAAATGTGCAATGGTTCGTATGTTAACTGCTCATTTGGAATATGACATATACGTTTTTGTCGAATCATGGCTTAACGACAACTTTTTTGATTGCGAAATGTTTGATTCAGACCTTTTCGACATTTTTTGCAAAGACCGTGATGCTGAGAAGACGGGATGTTCTAGAGGCGGTGGTGTTCTTATAGCGGCTCAACGGAGATTCAAACTCAGCTTTGCGTCTGTATTCACGGCTGCTCCGGCCATATTCTTTACATATGTGCGTCATACATCCCGCCGAATAGCTCTGAAAGCCTTTACGTTACACATGCTGATAACATCGTATCATTGGCGTCTGATGTCGTTGGTAATAATCCCATTTGTGTTCTTGGTGATTTCAACTTTAGCCGGTTGAACTGGACTCCAAGTAGGGATTCTGCCGCCCTTATAGCTTCAAACGTGAGCTCTCCAGCAGAAATTTATATCGTTGATAGCTTTTTAAGTATTGGTTTACAGCAAATTAACAGTATTTTTAACCAACTAAATAGACTATTGGATCTGGTATTTATCAGTGACAAAGTAAACTTCACTTTATCGGAATATATGTCTTCCATCTCTCCGACTGTAATGCATCATGTCTCTCTCACTCTTGAGCTGGAGTTTTATAACTTTGATTCATTGCCAGATGATCGCAGTATTAAGTTTAACTATAAAGCGTGTGATTTTTCTTCCTTAAATGGTGCCCTATCAAATATAGATTGGACTTATGGCTTCCGTGACAGTGATGTAACCTCTTGTTACCATATTTTTAAGACCACTCTCTACGAGCTATGCCTACAGTACATTCCTATTCTTAAGAAGAAGGTGTACAAACCAGGGAGGTGACCCGGATGAAAAATTTGATCGGTTCGGTTCAGCGGTTCGAACCGTTTTTGCACTTTTAGATTGGTTCGTCAAAGCGGTTTTTTTGGTCTTTGAATCGGGGTTTCAGTTCGGATCAACGGTTCGAAAAACAAAAAAATAACGTGCAAGTTTAACTGTCACGTGTCAAGTGCAACAACGCGCAAGATTAAGGGTCAAGTGTCTGTTAAATGAGATGGGTTGCCTTTACATTTTATATTGTCACATGGTAAACAAACATGGTAGGTATTACCATGTTTAACAAAAAGAAAGAAAGTGGGTACATTTATCTATTGAAAATTGGTTGAAACGAATCTTTAAACCTTTATAGAAAGTGGTTCGGTTTTCGGTTCGGATCAAACATTTGTGGAAAATTTCGGTTCGGTTAATGGTGCAGTTAATTAATAGAAAAAAAGCGGTTTTCCGGATCAAAACCGGTTCGGTTCAAAACCGGTTCACGTCCCTGGTACAAACTACCGTGGTATACGAAGCATTTAAAGCATCTAAAAAATTAAAAAAAAAAACAAATTTAGCAAATGGTATAAATCCTCCAACGACTACGCGCATCTTCTTAAGTTCCGGTACTTTCTAAAAGAATTTAATTGCTTAAACAAATTTCAATACCGAAATTATATTTTAAACTTTGAAGCTAATATTATCTCGAATCCCAAATCTTTCTGGCGTTTCATTGATTCCCGAAAATCTTGCTCATCAATTCCAACAAATGTTTTCTACAATGGTCGCTCCGCAAATTCAGCCTCTGACTCGGCAAACCTTTTCGCTGAGTTTTTTTTCGCTAACTTTGTCAATGACCTGGACTCGAATATAATGGGCCCCAGCTCCCTAGTGACTCTTCGCTGAATTTTGGTTCGTTAACCATTTCAACCGAGGACGTTATGAAAGGAATTGGTGATCTTAAGCCATCTTCACAGAGCGATGTAGAGGGTTTCTCGGCTTTTCTGTTGAAAAACTGTCTATGTTTAGCTGAGCCTCTTACTACTATCTTCAATAACTCCCTGGCCTCAGGTATATTTGTGGACGACTGGAAACAAACGTCTGTAACCCCTGTCTGTAAAAATGGGAACAAAAATGATGTCCGCAACTACAGACCGATATCAAAGCTATCTTCAGTCTCCAAATTATTTGAGATTGTTGTAAACTGTAAACTGTCTTTTGCTGTTAAAAACCTAATTTCTACTAACCAGCATGGGTTCGTCGCTAACCGCTCAACAGTCACAAACCTGGCTATTTTCAGTGATTACTACTTATCTGCTTTTGAAAACAAAGCTCAGGTGGATACCATCTACACTGACATCTCGAAAGCTTTCGACTAAGTATCACATCGTTTACCTCTGCTGAAGCTGATTCCTTTTGGATTTCATTCCACATTTTTGTCTTGGGTTAAATCCTACTTAACTGATAGGCGCTGCTTTGGGTTAGTCGATAATGCAATCTCACAACCGTTCATCGCGTCCTCGGGTGTCCCTCAAGGCAGCATCCTCGGGCCCCTATTTTTTGTGCTTTTCATCAACGATATCAGTTCTTGTTTCAAATTTGCTAATTACCTACTTTATGCTGATGACCTTAAAATATTTGCCACTATCCAAAACATTTATGACTCAGCCAACCTGCAATCAGACCTGAACAGAGTTCATGAATGGTGCTGCAAAAATCAGTTGACGCTGAATATCAGCAAATGCTTTCATGTATCTTACAGTAGACATATCAATACTTTGCATACATCACATTCTATCGCTGGCTCTGTTTTGCAATCTGTGACCCAAATGAAGGACCTTGGTGTTGTCTTTGACCCCAAACTTGTATTCAATAGTCATGTCGATTACATTCTTTCGCGCTCATACTCGATGTTAGCTTTTATACGCCGAAACTTACACTCTTAAAACTCTGTTTTGTGCACTAGTCAGGTCAAGACTGGAGTATGCAACGTTTATTTGGAGGCCTTACACTAAAATTCTATCTAAACGATTAGAACGTGTTCAAAAAGTTTTTATAAAATTTGCTCTCCGTTCATTAAATTTTTCTTTACCACTACCTTCTTACTATTCTCGCTGCCAACTAATCTACTAATAGAACTAATAGAAGATCCATTTTAGCGTGCACGTTTGTCGTTAACATCATAACTGGCTCAATTGACTGCCCTTCTCTTCTAGAAAAGATTGCATTTAATATTCCCTCTAGAATCCTCCGCCATTGGGATTTCTTTAAAATAGGTTTCTTAGAAGCAGTTATGGTGCCAACGCTCTGATCTCTAGAACCTGTGCTGAACTTAACTTAGTCTTCAATGCTTTAGACATTGATTTTACACAATCAGGAACTGCCTTAGTCACACATATGCGAACAATTTCCTCTGCGCTACACCACTAGCGATGTATTTAATCTTAGCACTTAATTAGTGTTAGCTGAGTAGTCTGTAAGAATAATCTGTATTCCAAGACTGAAATAAATAAAAAAAGACGACGAGGACGAGCACACCTAAAAGTTAAACATTCTAAAAATAGAATTATTAGCAAAAACCAACAACCACATGATCAAGTGAATTGCAGCGGAATAGCTGCGCTTGATTGTGTTGGCATAACAAAAATTAAAATAAGTGGGAAAAAGCAAAAGCAGGGATCGTCGGTTCGAAGCCTACTGAAAGAAGTCTGATGAGGAAATGTGGTGATTTCCGACATAGCTATCACTTCCACCATTTTTTCAATTATTGCTGGTT